AATATGGTGATAGCATTGTTTGGTGACAGATGGTGACTATATTTATTGTGATGAGCACTGGGTAATGCATAGAATTCTTGAATCAATATGTTATACACCTGAAACGAATACAGTATTATATTAATTATACTTCTATTAAAATAAATCTGACACCTGAATGTTCTCACAGGCACTTTCCATAATCTTTTTTTTTTTTCTGGTGTATGGGTCACACCTTTCCAGTATGACCATCTGTCTCCAGTATTTGTATCTCTGTGTGTGTATATTCCTGTGACTGTGACATTTTAAATTGTATGTTATAGCAATTCTAGGCACTTTCTTTCTCTTCCCAGGGCTTAGTATTATTTTCTTGTTTTTTTTTTTTTTTCTTGTTCTTGTTCTTGTTGTTTGTTTACTGATTCAGTCTGGATTATTTTAGTGAAGCCTATCCTTTCCCCAACCTCAGCACCCCATCACACACCCAGTGTGAAGCTTCTGATTTTGGTCTTCAGGGGACATAGACTTGAATATGTCCACAGTTACCCTAGGGTGACAGTGATTATAGTAGAACTCTGTTTCTTTTCCTGATCACACACAGCTGTTAGCTCCATTAATTGCTAACTAATTGCTTTGTTGTTTTCAACAATGCCTTAAGACATAAATTCCTTTACAGAGGAATTCAATCAAATTTAGACTCTTTTCAAGGGACAGTTCTTGAGGTCCTTGGCTGATATTTGTCTTACTCAAGAGGATTCTTCCCAGCTGTCACTGTCCTCATTTCTCTCCACTGAAATGAAGGCAACCTCCCAGGTAGCCTTTATAACCAATGAATCCATAGATCTCCTGTCAGTTACCTTTCACCATAACTTTTACTGCTTTTCAGAGTGTCCTGAGGCTTGAGCTTCTCTGTACTTCATTACAATTGAAATCAGTTCCTTGGGGGTTGGAGATGAGATTAGAGCTCTGTTTTTTGGCCTGTCTCTCCCTATGGGCAAAATATCTGACCCACAGGTCTGGTCTTGGAGATGGGGACAATGGTCAGCTTCTTTGTGGGTGAAACTCCACATTGAGTTGTTGAATGTTCAGCTGATCAAGATGGCAACAGTCCTGGGTCTCCTTAGTTTGCCACTCTCACTGAGGAATGCCTAGTCTATGAGTATCCTCATAATTCTTCTGTAAATCTACAAGTGTTATGCAAAATACAGTTTTATTTTTAAATACACTCTTAAAAATTGCCCATCCTCACTAAACTCCCATAAATGAATCTTTCCGACCACATCTTTAAGTGAATGATCTATCAAAGTGTATTTGGGAGACTGGGGAAAGCAACATTTATATTGAGGTAAACAAAAACAAAAACAAATCAAAGCATTTGAATCTTTACCAAATTTCTCTGGGAACTATTTAGTGTGAGTATTCATTCTTGTTTTTACACTAGGCAGATAATCAATAATCTAGGACTAGAATATTAAAAACATTATTTCAAAATCAACATTAGTCCTTACCCTTCCAATTTATTCTTTTTCCTTTTTTCCTTTGCTTTGCCCAGTTCCACATTTGTACAGTGACCTACTTGTACTTTGACGTTTTAATCCTGTTTCCCAGCTACGAAATAATTTCCACACATTCATCATGGCTAGAAAGAAGGTAGGGAGGCTTTTCGACAAGACTTTAAACAAATGCATCTGCAAATTTTGAAATCATTATGAGAGAAGAGAAATGAGAGAGAAGAAACAGGTTTGCTGGGTTTTAACAAATAGCAAGTGGGGCTCAGGGATGGAGGAGAATAGCAGGTTCTTTTCTCCTATGTAAAAACCACAACTGGCAGATACTTTGTTTTACTTTGAGGGTACAGGTCTGTTTTCCAAGGATAAGCCCTTATTCGTGAATAGTAGAGATATTTTTTGGAAGAATATTCCAGGCTCCTTTAAGGACTGAACTAATCTAATTTGGGGCACTCTCTTGTTCATGGAAACACTGAAATTTAATGGCTGCGCTGGCTGTTTTGCTTGCATCTGCTCATTTTAGATTGGTCTAAAGAGTAACTCAGCAGATTCTTCCAAAACACATCCTACAGAAGCCAAGTCACAAAGGGTTTAATTATTAATGAGTAACAATTACTCTGTTATCTTTAAGGTGATTCCTTCATAGGTCTAGAAATTTTACTTCTCAATGAAGTTACCACAAGGCAAACAAAATATATATTTAGAAGAATATATACTTCTTTAGTATATAGTGAATTCTTTAGAAGAACTTTTACTCTTATCATTATAGCTATTATATTTCTGGCATTCATTTATTAAATATTGGGTGCCTACATGTGCTTACAGGAGTGTTATTAGTTTTGTAAGGGCTGTGAAGACATCTGAAGGCATTTCACCCTTATAAAAATAAAAAAATAAAAAAACCTGTCTATGTGAAAAGTTTTGGAATTTAAGAAATATTTTGCAATTTCCAAAGTCATTTTTCCTCCCTAAAATCTCCATTTGAACTTTATAACAACAGCAGCATGAGAGGTGGCTTGGAAGATATTATATAATACAGTGGAAGAATTCTAGGCTCAGAGAAGTCTTAAAGGTCATTTAGTCCAATCCTTTCATTATATTTTTTTCATGCCAATTTTCTTTTTCATTTCACTTGAAAATAGTACCAGACTACAAAATGTTGCCAAAATGAAATTCATATATACCTTTTATTCAGCTTCCACAAATACAATCATCTTATACAACCACAGTACAATTTCAAAATTGGGAAATTAAATGTGATATAATACTGTCAACTGATTTATAGACCTTATTCAAATCTTGCTCATTTATTCAGTCATGTCCTTTTCCTGGTCTAGGAATCAATCCAGGATCACACACACCATTTGTTTTCTTATCTCCTAAATTTCCTTAAACTGGGAACAGTTTTTCAGTTTCTTTGTCCTAAATGATGTTGACATTTTTAAGAACTGTACTAGTTGTTTTGTAGAATGCTCTTCATTTGCAACCTTTCCATTTTCAAGTTTAGGTAGTCAAGCACAGTGATTCCCTGAGAACTCACAGCAAATTTGTGGCCGACTTAAACACAAATAGAAGGCTGCGAGTCGTATGGAAGTTCATCCTAAGATTTCAGAAGGCCGGTCTCCTTCCAGAAGGGTAAGGACTGACAAGGAAACAGTGAATTTATACAACAGTTTTAATAGATGCGCTCAACACACGCCTCTAGTATATTACTGATTACCTATGAAATCTTGAATTTTGTGCTAAGCCATGAGATGTGTAACAGTGAGCAAAAACCAAAATGGTCCCACGCCCACAGTTTGAGCTCCTTTTTTGTTTCACCCCGGACTTTGTCTTGTTCTGGAAGCTGTGAAAGGATATGTCCACAAAACACTTAGCACATGGCTAGTAGCAAAGTGCTCTTTCAAACGAGTTATGCCAAAAAAAACAAAAAAAAAAAAAAACAAAAAACAAGCAAACAAACAAACAAAAAAAAACTGGTTTGAGAATGAATGTTATAGAAGATCCGGGAAAGGGAGCAAAGCATGGCCACTGCTGGGAGAAACGTCTAAATACACATACCACCATCATCATTGGAGAGGTAGATGGTAGATCGATCTTAGATAGATAGAACATATTTCTATTTACCTCTATAAAAGATCTACAAAAGATAGAACTCTGTTCTATCTAAGATGGGTCTATCTAGGATCTTACACGGGACCTCACACCCTTCCCTCTGCTGCCCTTCCGCGTCCCTCCAGAGCCCAGACACGCGGCTGGCGCTCCAGCTTAGATCAAAGTGCCAATTCACAGAGACCAAGAGGAAGGAGGAGGAATCCTTCAGTCCCTTCCTCCCAAAGACGCTGGCAAGAGCCCTGGCTGCAAAGGAGATCCAGGCAGTGGACGGAGGGGAACAAAGCGAGAGGACAGCAGGAGCAGGAGGGTCCCCGGCGCTCACAGCCCGTTCCCGGGGGGCAGCCGAGCCCCGGGGACCCCGGAGAGCCCGGCACTCCCCGCCCCGCGCGGGGGCTCCGCAGGCAGCGGCCCGGGGTCCCGAGACCCGCTGCAGCCCACGTGGCTGCGCCTGGCCCCGCGCGCCCCGCCTCCGCCCGCCCCCCGCGCGCCCCAACTTGGACGGAGTTGGGGTCCTGAGCGCCCGCCCCAGACGCCCGGCGCTCCCGGCTCCGGAAGGGAAAGCGGGCGCGGGGCACCCGGGGCTGAGCGCGCTCCTCGGGGCGGGGGGGACTCCCCAGGGGCTGAGCGCGCTCCTCGGGGCGGGGGGCTCCCCAGGGGCTGAGCGCGCTCCTCGGGGCGGGGGGGACTCCCCAGGGGCTGAGCGCGCTCCTCGGGGTGGGGGGGGCTCCCCAGGGGCTGAGCGCTCTCCTCGGGGCGGGGGGCTCCCGGGGGCTGAGCGCGCTCCTCGGGGCGGGGTGCTCCCCAGGGGCTGAGCGCGCTCCTCGGGGCGGGGGCTCCCCAGGGGCTGAGCGCGCTCCTCGGGGCGGGGGGGCTCCCCAGGGACTGAGCGCGCTCCTCGGGGCGGGGGGGCTCCCCAGGGACTGAGCGCGCTCCTCGGGGGCGCGGGGCTCCCGGGGGCTGAGCGCTCCTCGGGGCGGGGACTCCCCAGGGGGCCGAGGGGTCCTCCGGGGCCCAAGCGCTCGGCGGCGGCCCCCTCCACACCCCGCGGGCCCCCGGGCCCCGCCGCCGGCCGGGCTGCTGCACCCCCTCCCCTTCGGGGGCGCCTCTGGCGCGGAGCGGGGAACCGGAGGCCCGCAGAAGTGGAAGCCCGGGAGAGACTTTAAGCAGCGGGACCCCGGAACTCCTCCGCAAGAGACACAAAGCTTCGGGGCTGGAGGAGCTGAGCTGAGCATCAGCACGTTGGAGGTGACCGGGAACTCCGCACACAAAGGACGCTCCACTTGGCTGGCTGCCACGGTGTCACGAGTGGAGAAGGGGCAGGATGGGGGGGTGACGAACGAGGTGAGGGGTGAGGGGAGTAAGCGCTGAAGTGTGTTGGAGAGTCAGGTGGACAGGGGCGTTTGAAGCTTCTTACTCGGGAACTGCGCGAAGCGAAGCCACTGCCCAACTTCCCCAGGAACTGTGTCACCTCCAGAATGCTTCCATCCTTCCGGGACATCTATCTTCTCCAAGCCCCAACCATGAAAGAAACTTCCAAATTAGCAGGTAAATCCTAGCCCCTGTCACAATGGTCTGTGGGGTTGAAGAGCAGGCAAAGAGGGGGTTTGTAAGGAAGTATCTGGAATGCGGGGATGAGAGGGTTAACTTGTAGGGCCGCCTGATACTCGGTGGAATGAGTTCCCCTTTCTGGGCTGCAGACTTTGCAGACTTACTGATGGCTTGAGTAAGTCCAAGATGACATATTAGTAAGGTAACTTAACGTGGATGAGAACTGCAGTGGGATGGTCATTGTCCTTTTGGTGTAGTCCCTCTCTCTGGGCACTCAGATGCAAGTTACAGAGAGCGCCCGTTCAGCCTTTTGGGGGCGTGTGTGCTTTTCCAGTGTGACCCATTCCTAGAAACATCAATACCCCAGTGACAGCAACCCCTTGTTGTCCTCCAGTATTTGACCTCCTCCAGTGAAGAACACAAATAAAGGCTTGACCCTACCTCATGAGGTGAAGAGATTGCTAGATTACAGGAGGCTGACACGGAGGACAGTAGGTGTGGTGGGGTTTTGCTGCCCACAGAGTGGCTTGTAGAGGTGAACATCAGTGATTTTTTGGCCATGCCAGAGGAAGTTTTAGAATTTGAGGAATATATCTGCAGTTGTTCAGCTGTCAATTTAAAGTGAACCTGGAAACTCTCTTTGACAGACGTGGTGAAACAACAGCTTTGGTGGTTATGATTAAGACCATTCAAAAAGTGCATGAAAGTTCTCTAGGCTACCATAAAGCAGACACTGAGAACATTATGAACAAGGGCAGGCAAAAAATAAACATAAATGAGTGGTGGATTCAATCAGGAAATTGAGAGTTTATTCTTTGAAATACGCACAGATTATTCAGGTTAGCACCTTCTACCATGACTTCATCTGTAATATTATTGCTAGAAACCTTCCCACTATAGTTAGGCTCATACTGAGCTTTTGAAATAGAAATTTTTAGTATTTTAAGGTGAAATCTGTTCAATAGGAATGAATATAGGTTTAGAATATATTGATGCAAATCACAATAACAAGAGTTAATATTCCTAGCCCTGTCCTGAGAGCATCCAGAATGCTCTAATATCTACCCTTGAGGATACAGATGCTGGTCCATATGTTGTTCTCACACACATTTACTTAAACCATTGAAGCGGAGGTTATTTCCATGGAGCTCCAGGAGATCTTTGCTCTTACTCCCTACTTTAATAATCACATCTTTAATATCATCACTGGTAAAATTATTCACTCCATTTAAGTTTGAAATTTTTAGAGCTTTTCCACTTCTTCGAATAGTTAGCTCACAATTTCTGACTGTAAAGGGAAGTTTTGGACATACCAAACATGTAGGTACTGTGAAGCAAAAGACTTTGGACTAGAAATGCATGCTGTTTTCCAAGCATGGAATTATCTCTCACCTTTATCCCTCACCTAATCTTGAAAGAGAATGAGAGAGGGGAAGATGCATCCTTGGCAAACCAGATACTTGTTCATTTAAGTAATTACTAAACTGTATTGCCAGGTTGTGTGTGTGTGTGTGTGTGTGTGTGTGTGTGTGTGTGTGCATGCGGGGGTGTTGCCAGCATGGTCATGTAATTGTGCTTACAAATTATATAGGGACAGTGTGGGTCAAATTTTGGATGGGGACATGCAGTAGGTCTACTAGGGTTACTTATTGTTGTCAGTAATAAGGGTAGTGACTGATGCTTGAGCACTCAAAGTCTGCTAACTAGTGACCTTTCTCTCTTGCCTGAAGTCCTTTGTTTTTTATCTTAACACACACCTACTCCATATCCTTCTCTTTCTCTCTCTGTCCTCAAAAGTAGAGCTAATCAATTTCATCTATCCAGATATATCTGTTTCAGCATCACGAAGAAAGTAATTATTTTTGTAAATTGGATAGTATAGAAGCAGAGGAAACCTCCCAGATGGAGGCAACTTAATGTAATGAAAAAGACTGGAAATTTGAGTTCTAGCCCTCTTTATTTGTCAAGTACGTTTGGCAATTTGAGGCAATAATCTGAATTTAGATTTCTTCATCTGTAAAGTGAGGACAGTGCTAATCAGAATTAATTGACAGAATGATAGATCTTGATACACATGAAAGGACACTGTTGTGATAAGGTCCCTACATATTTGTGTCACTGTCATTTCCAATACCTTTCTTTCTCTCAGATCAGTAAAGGGAATAGTTCATCAACCCCAAATATGAAGACAAAAATCAGAAATTCATGATTTGCCACCTCAATTTTCTTCCTCAGAATGAAGTGGGGCAGGGGCACTTGGGTGGCTCAGTCAGTTAAATGCCTGCCTTCAGCTCAGGTCATGTTCCCAGAATCCTGGGATCTAGCCAGAGTCAAGCTTTCTACTCAGTGGGGAGTCTGCTTCTCCCTCTCCCTCTCCCCCTGTTCTCCCTCTCTTTCTCCCTCTCTCTCAAATAAATAAAATCAGAAAGAAGAAAGAAGAAAGAAAGAAAGGAAGGAAGGAAGGAAGGAAGGAAGGAAGGAAGGAAGGAAGGAAGGAAGGAAGGAAAAGAAAGAGGCCCAGGTGTAACACATCTTTTAAAACTGTCTGATCTTTAGTTAAAACCCATAAAAAGACTAATGATTGTGCTAAATTAAAGTGGGGTGATTATAGACTGCCCATATAACATTTCAGGAATTCTGAATGTTTTTTTTTTTTTTTTTCTGAATGGTTTCATTGACTACTTTCCCTCTTCTTGCCTCCCTCCTGTGCATGTTGCTGATGCTCTTGGGACAGCCATTTGAGGGCATAACTTTTGCCTTGCACATGACTAAACCTTTCTTTAGTGTGTGTGTATGTGTGTGTGTATAAGAGAGAGAATGAGAGAAAGTTCAGAGGAATTTTGAAGATTTTGAGCCATTATTTAAATTCAGGTATTGACATTTGTAGCCCTGTCATACAGGGCAGACTTTCTTGATGGGGAACTTAGCAAGATTTGGACCAAATGAGGGAATGCTGTGGCATTCAGGATCCTAAGCACAGATAATTTGTCAGGAGCAAGAACATATTGCTTCTACACAGCTCATTTTATACATGATCTAGCTTCATATGATTATAGTCACTGCCTTGTGGGGTGTGTTGTGTGTATTCTTCTTTCCTCCACTGGTTTCAAAATGCTAACCAGCACTAGCTCATTAGTGCCTATGAAATTCTTGTTAGGTAGATAGTATAAGCATTAATATTGTCTCCTCACATTTTTATGCTGAATGTGATTTAAAATGCTTCAGTTTCTTACTCTCTATTTCTCGCTGGCAACATTGCTCATAGACAATCATCTGCATACATATGTCCTTATGATGATATTTATGTCGCATTTATCAAATTGTAGGACTATCTGGTTATTTGACATGTGCATCTTCTCCTTCAGGTATTTTTAAACCTGAGATGTATCAATGCAAACTTGGCAATAAAACCAGGCCGGTATTTTTTGTTGTTGTTGTAAAATGTCTTATATTCATCATTTAAAAAAAAATCACAATAATCTTGTGAGGATTGAATGATCACTTCCATTACACCAAACAGGAAACTAAGGTTCAGAAAGAATAAGTCAGATGTTCAGGCTCTTATGAGAGTGTCAGGGACAGAGCACAATTTGTAAACTTTTTTGATCTGACTCCAGAATCTATGCTTGCCTGATACATTTTAATATAGGACATAGAAATCAGAGCCAGTTGAGATCTGTTTGTAAAATTATTCATCGTGAATGGATTTCAGAGGAGGTTGGGAGGAGGCACATCAGTTATGGATGCTCTATCTCCTTGAGAAAAAGGAATGCTCCTAATACATACCTGTCAAATTTCGTTCCTGAGCTGCAGTAGTGATTGCATTGTTCTCACACTCTCCTCTTCATCTTTAGAGAGCCTGAAAATCAACTCTTGAGTGATTCACTGAGCATAAATTGATGGGAAAATTTTAAGATCTAGTCTTACTTTATACATTTATGAGTCAACAAAAAAATCTGATTTTTGTTTGATATCAGCTGTGATCATTTATATAAGATTTTCTTCACCTGACCTTTTAAATTTTAATAGAATTAGCTTTCTTTAACAAACTTACAGTTTTCTTTTCCTGATCAGGGTTCTGATCCTAATTACGAAGGCAAATGCATTGGACATGGAAAGTGAGATGCTATAGAGGAGGAAAGCATAAGATGTGAGGCACGAGGGACCAGTTTGAATCTCCCTACTAGCGATCTTAAGAGTAGGGAGACTACATGCTTTCTGCTTTCTGATGACACATAGTCAGTTCTTTCTCTGAAGCTCCACCCACGTCAGACACAATATGTTAGTGTTTTCAGTTTGAGAGTGTTGCACTCATTGTAGCTTATAAGTTTGGGGGGAGCAAAGATAAAACATTGATCTATGTCCTTGACTTTGGAGTAAGCAAGCCTTCTGTTTCACATGATTAGGTATTTCCCTATTGTTCACATACATATGTGTTTACATAAATTCCCGAAGTTTGAAACCCACTATTTAAAAATCAGGTACTGGTATTCATAGTAAGAAAGGCATAGTAGTTTATTTTATATCATTTTTGTGTTGGCAAACGTGCAGTCTTTAGCTGAAAAATGCATAATCTAAGAATAGAAATTACACTTCTTTTTGGAATTTGCTGATACCTTCTATAAAAGATAATTAAATATTGACTTTGGGGGTGGGGTGGGGGATGAGTTAAATAAGTGATGGGGATTAAGGAAGGCACTTGTTCTGATGAGCACCAGGTATTGTATAGAAGTGATGAATCACTATATTGTACACCTGAAATCAATATTACGCTGTAAGTTAACTAACTGGAATTTAAATAAAAACTTTTTTAAAAGACTCAGGAAGATTCATATCTTTTAAAGAAAAAAAGATATGAATAGAATAGAATTAGACATGAAATCATAGATTTGGGCACAAAAATGCGTGGAGTGTTTTCTTATTTATATGAATAATTGCTAACATTTAAGTAGTACTATGTGCCAGGGACAACACTAACAGCTTTATGCAAATAATCTTATTAACTTTTCATTCTACAGATATGCTGAGAACCTAAGTTGTTCCAGGCACTGATAGGTGTGAGTAACATGGTATAAAAAGTCATGAACAAATTCATATGATGCAGTAGAAGATGCACGTCCTCTCATGGGAGAACTTCTAGAGGACTAAAGGTGAGGTGGGAACCTTCTGGTAGGGATGGTTAAGAAGGCTTTTTGACAAGAGTGGTGCTTAAATTGAACAAGGAATAGTAGTAGTGAGAACATTAAAAGGGGAATGTTGAGGTGGCCACAGTTCATGTTAGGCAAAAGAACTGCAAGAGCACGTGTAGAGAGGAAATCCCTTAATATATGACATCAGGTTTGAACGATTAAGGATATATTGCATGCCCAATGAGAAACTGAAAATTCACGCCCCCTGAAAACAAAAACAAACAAAAAAAACCCCACGCCATCCCTCAAAGATATCATTGCCCTTATTTGCACATTTAAATCTCATCTTGGATGTCATAGCTTCTTTTTATCCTGACTTGTTTTCAAAACAAAGATTGTCTTTTATTTAGTAAACTCTATCAGAGACATCCTGAGCCAGGCTCCCCAAAATGCCACTTTGCCTTATGTCTTTAAATTTATATACAAATACTATGGCTTTTCTTTATGTGTATCTTGATCATTGTCGCATACCTCCTGAAAGTGTGAAGGATGCATCTGTGTCTCCAAAGGCATACTGGCCAGACATCATCCCTGCAGCAGCCAAAAGTGATGGCCTGGAAGAGCTTTGGAGGAAGGAGTGTGAGGAGGAACCAGACTCCTCAGAATGTGCCAGCCACTGCAGAGTGTAGATTCTGCTTACCTCAGATACATGTCTAGGAGAGGAAGAAGTTTCCTTGTTTCTTCCAAGCTCCTTCCAGTTGGTTTGGGAATTAAATTGACATGAGACAGATGAAAAACAAAAAAAAAAAAAAAAACAAACTAAAGTGCACACAGAGGCACAATAATGAAATTAAGACTTCAAGAAATGACCAGCTCAGGCGGTTTTTACACTTTTTTCGACAAAGAGACAATAAATCTATGAGGAATTGACAGGATGAGAAAATGTAACTTTGGGAGCTACAGTTGGTAAGGAATTCTAAACAGAATTTGGGCTGGGAAAGTAAAAGATTAAAAAAGTAACAAGGGTTGTTGATATAGTCTCCCTGGCTCAGATTTCTTAGAGAGCAAAGATCCTCTTTACCCGTATTACAGGGAAGGAACTATTCACTTGGGAGATTGATTTCTTGCTTTCTGGAGTCTAAGACAGGTTAAGAGGCAGGGGCGATCAGAGCGTTATTTTTGCAATGGCTGTCTCGTAAGTGACATTTATTTAAAATCATCAATAGGCCAAAGTAGCACATTTGGGGGTAGCCTGCTCTTGGCCCCTATAGATGCAATGGTTAAAAGCTTGGCAAGAAACAGAAGTGAAATCTTACTACTCAAGGTTCATACTGAAAGAACAGGCATTATTCTAAAATTCTGATAGAGATAAAAGGACCTGGATGCTCTTGTAGGAAACTCTACGTAGTTTTTACATATACATCAAAGCTGTCATGTCTCTGCTTCTGCTAAGATCTACTGAATATTTTTCTACTACCTTAGATCAGTAATATGCCTTTTTACTATTCAAAATGCTTCACTCTGAAGAATTTTGTCATGTTTCTTCAGTTTTATTATCCTCATAGTCCTAAGAGATAAGAAGGACAGATATTATTACCAACATTTTGTGGGAGATGAAGCTGAGAGATGGCTGGTCTAGCAGTGTGGTTTACACGTATAAGGTGTTGGAAGAAGGGGAGACTAAAATCTAGGATGCAGAATTCCACTGATATCTGGACTTGCTCAGGCCTTTTTGCCATGGGCTGGGGACAGAGTTATGTTTTGGCTGAAGCCAGCATTCCTGCACATTAGGGAGTACCATTTGGATTGGGCACAGGGCTCCTGGGGTCCAGGAGAGCTGATACAGGTGATATGTGCTGGGCTTCAGAACACACTGTCTGATTCAGGGTGATTGAGGGGTCATTACTGGCCTTATGAAGTGGCCATTGAGGGAACTATTAAGATTTACTTCAAGTCAGATGTCATTGCCTCATGATAGAAGTGTTATGTTTTATGCTGACAATTATAAATCAGTCATCAATGGCTCCCTTTGCTCTTCTTGTATCTGATTGAGGCTGGGGGTTGGAGACAAGGCAGAGGGGAGTTTTCTGAACACTAGAGCAATGATTCTACTCCACCCTGATATGCTCTATATTATGATCTTACAGAAGCTGACTTTTAACGACAGTAATAAAAGTCACCATATCTTTTGAGCAACCCTCTATAAGGACATTTGCAAAATATCATCACTATGTTATTTAATTTAATCCTTACAACAACCCTCTGAAGTAGGAATTATCCCCATTCTAACACTGTGGAAACTGAGTGGAGTATTAATGACTGGGGTCCTTGGGCAGAAATTTACTAGAGGACAAATGGGAGTTCCAGGCAAGGCTTTTGGGGCTTCTGCTCAAGCACATGGGAGAAGAACAAAGGAAAGGATCCTTCAGGCTGGCTCTCAGAACAGAAGGTGAGGCATGTTTCTTTTTTTAAAGATTTTATTTATTCAAGAGAGACACACAGAGGGAGGCAGAGATATAGGCAGAGGGAGAAGCAGGCTCCATGCAGGGAGCTCGATGTGGGACTCAATCCCAGGACTCCAGGATCATGACCTGAGCCAAAGGCAGAAGCTTAACGGCTGAGCCACCAGGCATCCCAAAATCTGACCAAGGATTTTTTTTTTTAATTTATTTATGAGAGGCGCAGAGAGAGAGGCAGAGACATAGGCAGAGGGAGAAGCAGGCTCCTCACAGGGAGCCCAATTTGAGGCATGTTTCTAAAGAGCCTGAGGTGGCAAAGGAGTGATGTCTAAGTATGTAGGGGTGGGAGATACAGGAAATGAGGCATGCAGGCACAGTGGGTGGAACATGCTTCATCATGCACTGCATGTCTCATGAGCATGTCAAATCTCCACCCTTAGGTGTGATTTTTTAGTGTTATAGTGAGGAAGAAAGTTAGTGAAAGGTCAGGTCAGCACTGTGGTCCACCTTGGCGCAGACTGGTTTGGTTCAGTCTTCACCAGTCTTCCTGGTTGAGTCTCTCCTTCGGTAAACGTGTTTCGTTCACATATCTGTAAGATCTACTACTCAAGAGGCATAGGGGTCCAGCTACCAAGAAATGCTGAGTTTTGAGGTCAAAGTTGAGGGACCCAAGTCCAGCCCCAGCTCTGCCTCCAGAGAGGTTAAGAAAGCCACTATAAATTATCTAGCTAAAAGGCGACAGATCAGCAATTTGAGTTTTGCTTTGACTTTGACTCCAAAGCTCTTTCTACTGCCACACTGCCCTTGTGTTTGGGTTCATTCTGAAGTTTCTTAAAGAGGAATTCCTAAGCCAGTTCAAGTGATGGTAGGGGAGCCCTTGGCATGAACAGAAGAATCTAATTGTGCCCCTTTCCATGTTACTCTGTTCTCAGGTTACTGGCCTCTTTTATTCTTTTCATCATGCCCCCATTCCTGTGAATGACTCCTGTAGCATCACTAAAATGTCATCTCCAGCTTGTTCTCCAGGAAGAATGAACGTGTGGAAGCCGGCATTTGATTTCTTCCTGCTGGCTACTGACCTTAGGGAGACAGCATGGACAGTGTGGATACTCACTCTAACATCAGGCTACCGAGACATGTTATCAGGTAATTGTCTGATCATACTGTACTCATGAGCCAAAGGCTTGATGGTTCTGGTCATTTTCCCTAATCAGAATGAGAGAGGACTTAGTCATCTGATCCAGGGCTCACCTGTTTGGAAAGTCAAAGGTGTTTTGCTTATTTCTTCACTTCTTTCTCTCGATTAGAATCAAGGGAAGGGTTTTTGTCACTCAGGTTTGGAAATGCTGCCTCTAATCTCTACCTGACTAGCTCTGGGTAGATAGAGGGATTTTGAACTGAGCAGCCTTGGGTTCTCCAACTGGCAACTGAAACTACATTCAGAGATGGTCCTCTGGCCCCCACATTTAAAATAACCTGGGGTGTTTTAAGTAAATGTAGCCTCTGGAATTAGTATTTATTCTGTTGATGGGGGCAGAAGAGTGAGCAGGGTTATTGATGTTTTAATAATCCCCTAGGTGATTCTTAGTAACACTAAAGTTTGAAAAATATTTCCCTAGGGAATTCTCCTGTAAGGCTTCAGAGTCCATGAACTTTCTGAGATTGCCTACACATTGCGTGTATATGAGGAATTTTTTTTTTTTTTTTGGAAAAAGTTGAAGTCCACAGCTATCTATAACTTCTCAAAAGAATCTGAATATATTGGGGTACAACCCTCTGAAGCAGGCTGGAGGAGAGGTAATGATGCATGTATAAGATGTCAGAAAGAGGAAATACAATACCTTTCTCTGGAAATAAACACTTTGTAGTTTGTATAATGGAAATGAGTTTTTGGTACCATCTTTCTTGTTTATCCACATAAATAAGATTTGTGTTCTGAAGATAAAATATGGTGTAATTTTTTAACTCTAATAATATTGATTAGTAGCAAAGAGTCTGGAAACAGACTTCTTGGGTTTGAAATACTGCTTCATCATTAATTAGCTCTGTGACTTCATGAAAATAACTGACTCTATGCCTCTATTTCCTCATATGTAAAAATATTCATAAAGGGTTCTTACAATCTTAAATGGCTTTGTAGGCCTTAATGCAGTACCTGGCACATAGTAATAAATATTAGCTGCATTAGTAGTAGTAGTAGTAGCAGTAGTTGTTGCTGTTGTTGTTGCTGTCATCACTGAATTAATAACATGTTAAAGTAAGCACATCTAATGCCCCCTTAGCAGATGTGTAATCATATTATCTTTCTTCTATAATAATACTCTCTTCCTTGTCCATTTTCATGTTTTAGAGGGTTGAGACCATCATTCATCTTTTAAAAATGGTTTTTTTTTTGTCCTTTTTTCTATATATCCCTCACAGCATTTATAAATAAATACTCAGGGGCATCTGGGTGGCTCAGTGGTTGAGCATCTGCCTTTGGCTCAGGTCGTGATCCTAGGGTCCTGGGATCGAGTCCTGCATCAGGATCCCTTCAGGGGTCCTGCTTCTCCCTTTGCCTATGTCTCTGCCTTTCTCTCTATGTCTCTCACGAGTAAATAAGTAAGGTTTTTAAAATAAATAAATATTCTCTCAGAGTAAATACTAAATTCTTGTGTGATTTTTGGGTTTGTTTTTATTTTTTTGGACTTTTCTTGGTCCACAAAAGCAAACATTACCCATGTTCTTGTGCATTAGTGTGATAAAATATTATATACCCATTAAACATATTATATAGATCTGTATTTAATGATTTTAAAAATTTACACAGCAAAGCAAAATATAAAAACGTATATTTTTAAAATAGTAAGATTTTAAGTTCCATGAAGGTAAAAATTTTTGTCTGTTGTGTTCTCTGGTGTATTCTAAATATCTAACAGGGCATCTGGTACATAATAGGGGCTCAGTAAACTTTTTTGTAAAAGGAAAGAAAGAAAATGTGAAAAGAATTTGGAAAGATAAAACTCAAATATTATCATTGATTGTGACTATCTTAAGTATCATTTAGATTGAGTTTTTTGATGTTTATTATATGAATATATGCTAATTTTATTACTTAAAAATATTTTAAACCAAACATAAAAAGATCATTAACCTTATAAGCTCATTATACTTAATTCTAGGCACCTAGATTTCACCAAAAAAACTCAAATCTCTAATTACTAGTGTTGGTGGATATTTTTGATGACAAAGGTGATAAGGAGATCACTTTGTATTTTTTTTCTTCTGATTGTGTGATAGTGGATGCATCTAGGCCTTTCCTCATCAGTTGTTTTTGTTTTTGTTTTTGTTTTAGAAAAGAGAGATATGGAGGTTCGTGTACCAACAAGACTGTATACTATATACTAGACATTCTGGTGACCTGTAAGTCCAACAAAGAAAACATATATCTCAATTTAAATCTCAGACATTACTTGATCTCGATACTCATCTAAGTATTTACCTACATGTACATATTCATATTGCACACACACACACACACACATGCATGCATGCACCCTTAGCCATATGAATACTGTGAGTAAAGCACTCATATTTTACCTGTAACTCCTCACCCAGGAATATGAATCATTAGAAGGTCTTGCATGGCAATGGAAAAGAACCTTGCTGATTGAAGTGCTTAAATGAAAGGCAACCAGACAAAGGGAGAGAGCAAGAGAAGACAGAATAGACAGCAATTGAGGTACAGAGAGACAGACAAAGAGAAAAGATCCCCAAGACTATGATAGAACCAGAGTGAGAGGGAGAGAGCAGGAGGAAGGGAGAGAGAGGGAGAGGGAACAGGACTATGTCGAAACATGGAGACCCAGAGATCCAAGGAGAGAATCACAGGCAGAGTGAGAAACTGAGGGAAACCAGTGACAGTGGAGAACTTGTAACTCATCAGAGTTTTCAAAAGTTCTAGAGTGGGACTTGATCTTACATCCACTAGAAACTTTCTTACTAATAAGTTGGGTGTTTTTCATTTTTTTTATGTTTTTTTTAAGTTTTGGTATAATTTCTATTTTTTTCCCCATAGATACCATGTCTTACTACTAAAGGACCTGAAATATATGCCCAGTTGCAGGGCACAAGGGTAACCAGTACACGACCACAGTCCTCGTCTGAAGGAATGTGCTGGTGGCTTCTGATGTTACAAAGAAAGGGTATTTCAATTTTTTTCCCATTGGCTTGCAATTTTTTTAAAAGATTTTATTTATTTATTCATGAGAGACACAGAGAAAGAGGCAGAGACACAGGCAGAGGGAGAAGCAGGGAGCTTGATGTGGGATTTGATCCCGGGACTCTGCTATCACACTCTGTGCCAAAGGCAGACACTCAACCATTGAGCCACCCAAGTGTCCATTGCAATGGGTTTTACTTTTGAAATAGTATTCATCCTTGTGGTTAGATTTCTAGGCAGCCCACAAAAGCTTCAAGTCCTAGCATTAGAGCTTATGTTATAATTTAGATATTGAAAGGGTTAGATAATTTTATAGGCTTATCTGAGCATAAAACTAGAATTAGTAATTTCATTTCTGGTGAAAACTGTGCATTTGAGGAGATATGGGGGTCCCAAAGACTTCAATACCTTTGCTTTATTTTTTGACTCTTCAGATATTCCACAAAGGTAGTTGGTAGCTACCTAACCACATATACCTGTTCTTTGTGGTGGTAGGGGGGAGTGATTTAGGAATTTTTTTCACTTTGAAGACCAAGTCAATTATTGTGTATTTTTGCTGTCTTTTTTTTTTAAGATTTTATTTATTTATTCATGAGAGACACACAGAGAAAGAGAGGCAGAGACACAGGCAGAGGGAGAAGCAGGCTCCACGCAGGTAACCTGACGTGGGACTCGATCCCGGGACTCCAGGATCACGCCCTGAGCCGAAGGCAGATGCTCAACCGCTGAGCTACCCAGGGATCCTCTATTTTTGCAGCCTTTAAAAGCTTCATTTTGGCTAGTGGGACTGCGTAAAGGATATATTCAACTAACAGTCAGTACATTTTATAAGAAACTTTAACGGTCATTAATTTGGGAGACGAGCTCATCACTCAGTATAGGGATGGGCAAACTATGCTCCCTGTGACAAATTTGGTTTTCTACTTGTTCTTCAAAGTAAAATTTTATTGGAACACAACCTCGTTCATCTGTTTTTGCACATCATCTATAGCTGTTTTTGCACCAGCAGAGTTGAATAGCTCTAACAGTGACCGTAGGTCCTACTGCACCTAAAATACTTCCTATCTGGACCTTTACAAGAAAAGCTTGCTAACCGATGACCTAGATCATGGGGAAGAAACGTTTATCCATCCCTTTCATATTCGTCTATGTTGTTTTGAATTTTTTTGTCAGGTGTATGTATTCCTTTTGTAATAAAACTATTAAAACATCTTGGATGACTGTGCTACCTGCTAAGATGCTTTGCCCCGGAGTTTACATTACACATTGCGGAGGCTGCAGCTGCTATACAGACATAAAAAAATACAATTTAGAGTGATAAGTACATAGTAAGTATAATCAAGATTTGTGCAAAGTCCTGTGAGGACAAAAATGTCTCCGGGAGAGGGAAGGAGTGACTTTATAAGGAGCTGATATTTGAGCTGGCCTTTAAACAAGATTAGAGATTTGCCAACCAGGGACTGTTGGGAGGAAAAGGGTATGTATAGCCATTTTGCCCTCCCTTTTATGAGAACTAGGTCTACCTTGTGGTTCTTAGTACTTTTAGCGGATGTGATCAGTCGTTCTTCCTTTTTGGTCTCCTCTGTGTCCTTGCCATTTGGGACTCAGTCTAATGGTCCTTAAATACGGTGTGTTTGATTTCCTTCTTCCCTTTGAGCATCATCTCTTTGACTGAACCAAAGAATCTGAGCTCCCAGATTTCTTTCTCATCTCTTTACTAGTAGAATTTTACTAGCATGGTTGTGATGAGACTTCTTTCTCCTTGATATTTGTTATGTGGCTTCTTTTACACAAGATAGGAATGAGTGACTGTCATTTTTTTGGGCATGGGGCCTGAACCAGAGCAGCTGTTGGGGTGCATTACCCTTGTCATTTTCTGCTAGTGCAGTATTGTTACCCTGGGGAGTGTGATGGTATGCAAGAGGGAATGACATCATAATTATCTATAGTCAAGCTGTTACACATACGAATGTGAGGAGGGCTTGTGTACCTAAAGTAGGTATTCTTACCTCTTGATTTTAACCTTGCCAGCTTTCTCAGAGCTGTTCCTAAAGAAGAAAGTTAACTCTTAATCAGACTTCGTAAAAATTATTTTTTCTCCACTAATTCTCATCCATCTCTTCTTCACCGTGGATTTTTTTTTAAAGTAAGTATACATTAAAAAGTGTCCACATCATTCCTGCACTGTTTGTAGGATTTTCATAAATGAATACACCTGTGTAGGGAGCACTACGATCAAGAAGAGAGCATTAGCAGCTCCCCGGAGGCCTGACTCATACTCCTTTATAGTCAATTCTTCCACTAGGATAACCTGTTTTGACCTTACATAGCATTGATTGGTTTTACTTGGTTTTATGCTTCATATGAAGTTTATATAAATGGACAATTCTGTGTCCTTTTTTTATACCTATTTTTTTTGTTCAATATTATGTTTTCAAATTTCTCCCATAATATGCTTACTTTTAAATTATTTAAACTATATAATTTGATATTAATATGAGTCCTTCTTCTATAAACATTCTTTTCTGTGTTTTTTAGTGAGCATACAGACCCATCTCCAGTTCTGAGGACAGCAAAGTTTAGCTTTAATAGATACTGCCAAATTTTTTTACATAGTAATTGTATCAATTGATACTTCTAACAGCAGTGAAAAATAGTTTTGGTTACTACACATACACTGACATTTAATATTTTACATCTTTTTAATTTTATATATCCATTGATTATGGAATATTGTCACATAATGATTTTAATAAGTATTTCCCTGTTTACTGTTAAGGTTACTTGTCATTTGGATATCAATATCTCTTTTTGCAAATTATTTGTTCAAATCTTTTGAATTCTATTCTGTTTCCTGTCTTTTTCTTATTGATGTTTGGGAGTTTTTAGTTTTTTGTTACATATCTAATCTTGCTGAGACATGTGTCACATACATGTATATTTTCCTATATGTGATTTTACTCTTTACTATCCTAGTGATATGTCTCTCAATGTACAGAGGTTCTTGACTGTGATTTATTCCTGCATAATAATAGCTGCTCAGAAATTTTGAGGGATTGGTTTAAGAAAACCAGTCTGCGGAATGCCTGGGTGGCTCAGATCTGCCTTCGACTCAGGGTGTGATCTGAGTCCCGAGATGAAGTCCCACATCGGGCTCCCTGCATGGAGCCTGCTTCTCCCTATGCCTGTGTCTCTGCCTCTCTCTCTCTCTCTCTCCTCTCTCTCTCTGTCTCTCTCTCTCTCTCTGTGTGTGTGTGTGTCTCATGAATAAATAAAATCTTTAAAGAAAACAGTCTGCATCAGTCATCAAAAATGTTTTCCTATATTTTCTTGCAAACTATTTAATAATTCATCTGCCACATTTTGATGTGTAATTCATCTTGAATAGATTTTTGAGTATGGTATAATATAAAAGTAAAGATACATACAATCATGATTTTTCTCTACAGCTATGCAGTTGACAAAGGATTACTCATTGAAAAGATCATTGTTTACTCATTTTTCTGCTGAGTGACCTTTGCCACAGATTTGCTGACTATATTTGTCAGTGTGTTTCTGAACTCTCCACTCTCATCTATTTGTTGGTTTTTCCTTGTGTTAATGTTATATTATTTTAATTATATGGCTTCATCATAGGTCTGTGTGCCAACCATCTTCACATGTTCAACAATCTTCTATTGTATGCTAAACGGCATAGAAGATGATTGAGGAAATACAAATGGTTCCGGTTCCAAAAGAGAAATTTCCCTTTTCCTCTGTTAGGATCATCAATAGAGAACAGACCACCTCAGTCTTATCAAGGGCTGACATGGGTTTTGCCCGTGTTTCAGATGTGGTAAGATTCAGTCTTTTTTGGCTAGCCCCTGCTACCATGGTGTGATTCTCCATGACTTTCAATTGAGATTCTGGTATCTCTGGTGTCTTCACCTCCAGAAAACAGCTAGAAATTCAGGTTTTTTTTTTTTTTTTTTCACAAATATTTAGCTTAGCATTGGTCTTCTACCCCATCCAATACTCTTCTCTGCCTTTCTTTTTAAATTTATTTTTTAAAATATTTTATTTATTTATTTGACAAAGAGCTAGAGAGATCCAGAAAACACAAACAGGGGGAATGACAGAGGGAGAAGGAGAAGCAGGCTCCCTGCTTCCTAATGCGGGGCTCAATCTCAGGACCCTGGAATCATGACCCGAGTTGAAGGCAGATGCTTAACCGACTGAGCAACCCCAGCACCACCTTTTTTGATGGAGAATGGCTATGGTTTGAAGTCCACCAAACCCTCAACCTTGTCACTAAGCAGAAATGGCTGCTAATTTATGTCAGCTAAGGAATCATAGCTTTCTGCCAACAGTCCACGCTGGGCCTCAGACTTAGCTTTTACTAATATTGAGATGTGCCACCAGGTGAAATGTGATTTAGATTCTCAGTATCAATTCATCATGCCTCCTAAGGTTTTCATGAGTTCCCTGCATTGGGCCTCTTCCTCCTTCTGGTAGGTTGTTTACTAAGCACGGCAAAACTGCAGGTTTGCCTCTTTGTGTCCCTGTACATCCTCAGAATTCAGCAAATATATTGTGGAACAAACTAGACATACAAATCTCTTAGAATGGAGGCAAGGAGAACAGTTAGAAGGCTAATCCAGGCAGGAAGTTATGGTGGTCAGAATCAGCAGGTCACTTATAAAGATGGATGGGCGTAGGATAAAGTGGAAACATTTGATACAAATTTTAGGATATATAACCAGTAACCATGGGGAATCTAGAAAGGAAGGTGGGAAAAGAAAGAGTCAAGGAAGGTAACTCACATGTTTCCAGGTATGGCCACTGAGTGCCTGATGGCAATATGTGTTGTGATAGGGGACAAGTTAGGGGTACTGGATTTGGAGTTGTCAGTAAGGAGGAAGAAAGGTTAACCTAGTCTGCTGAGCTCTGCCTCTGTACCTTGCTAGGTGGGGGAAGCCCAGTACCACTGAGGATAACTCTGTGTGTGTGTGTGTGTATTTACGTATGTGCATGTGCACACATGACTTCACCTGGTTTGGCTTGCTCACAAGAGTGCAGTCTCCTCTGACTCTTTCCTCACTGCAGGATTTTAAGTCAATGGTGACTATACAGAACCTTCTGATATGGAGGATTTTCTGTTGTTCGATTGAGTCTGTGTGCTGAATAAACATATCATGCGGTTACCTACAAAATCCATTCTGGACACCAAATACAAATCACAGGTGTTTTTCTACAAGTCCATTGTGAACAAAATTAAGGACCTATGCTATGACCTTTCCCTGAGAGAGAAGGTGTGGCTCAGAGAAAACCAGCATTATCATAAAGAAAGCAATCCCCAAGGTTAGTGACCCCACTGTGGTTCCTTGTAAACTCATTAACTTTTCATGGTAACACAGAGGTAAGCTGCCACTCTTGAATCTTTGTATCATCTGACCATCCTTTTGAAGCTTCCTGAATGAGGTATACATTATTTGTTCCAGTGGTCAAGGAAAATATATGAATCTAGGCCTCTGTGATCTTTAAATGAGTTATGTCAAGAGAATTGGTAAATAATCTGACCTCCAGCCATGATTGCTAAGCCAGTTATATCTTGGGTCTACTACCAGTGGCATCAGTTTTGTGCTTTCCACCCTTTCTTGAAATATACTAATGTGAATCAGTTCTCATTAAAGACTATAAGATGTCAGAGAGATTTTTATGTTAAACAGGTAAATTTTGGGCATCTTTCAAAATCTTCTGTCCCACCCCAATAAACTTTGAGTCAATCCCCTATACTATTAACAAGCGTTAGTGTATATGATGTATTATGATGTAAAAGGTTCATTTATTCAATCTGTAATGAATTAATAAATGCATGAAAAATGAAGACTGCCACTTCATTGCTGATTTTCTCCTCTCACATCTTGCTTCCTCAGAGTTATACTTTATTGAAGCATCCATCTCAGGAAAGAACCAAAGATTAGGATTGAGTCTTGATGTGGGAGACTAAGAGGGTGCAAAGTCACGTATAGAGAGCATAGAGAATATGTGACTGATCGTCAGTGATTTGGCCAGTGCTTCGTAACAATGAACTTTAATGCTCCATTCCGCCTGAATGTTATAAACGTGGCTGATGGAAAACCTAATTGGGAAACACGCTAAACCGACTCTGTAGAAAGCATGACTTTTGATTGAATTGGTGAGTTTCTATTAATAGTAATAGACAATTGAAATTATAGGGTTTTTTAAAGTAATGGCAGGGACTTTCTCTTACTGATGATCTTCAACATAATCCCAAGAGGTATTATTTTTGATTTCAAAATGTATGGTGAGGTCATCCCAAGAGTTGGCACCTCTGTATCCCCAGAGTGTCTGCTAGTGAATCTCTTGCCATGCGAGCATGAATAGTTGGCATCCAGTTCCAGTCCAATTCTTCTGAAAAGACTGCTGTTTTACACTGTCTTGGCATTATAGAATTCCTTGTACTGCTGACTTCAGAACTTTACTTAAGCCATCCCCATGAAATTGGTAATTCATTAAGTGCCAAGGGCTGGCTGAGTCATTCCTATCATATTGGCTATTTGATACATATTAATCTCTCTCTCTCTCTCTCTCTCTCTCTCTGTTTCTCTCAATTGATTAAGTCTCCAGAGGCTCATTTTGATTAATATATATATATATATATATATATATATATATATATATATATATGTTCTAATTCCTTGTGGAAAGGCTTCCCTCCACCAATTTCACTTAGTCTGTGGGTTTGGAGTTCCTCAGAGTCTATGAGAAGGTAACATGGAAGCCAAACCTTAGAGAAGCCCACTTGCTTCCTTGAGAAGGATGTTATTTTCATGAAAAGTGACTGCAAACATCAGTAAAATTATATGAGGGAGCGTAAAGCATCTCATTACTCTAGAGCCAGCCTTATCCTCTTTATGAGCCCCATTTAATTAATTATTAAAAGCTAGGACATTTCAAAAAATTTTATCAGCCTCTGTTAAGGTCAAAGTGATAAGATTCACATTTAAATGTTTTAGAAGTGGTGTTATTTCAAGAACTCTCTCTTGCATTGGAGGAGGTAAAATGAAATGTGGAGTGGAGGGGTCAGGGTTGAGTCAGGACACCTGCTGCTTCTTTGTCCACTGTTAGCTGGTGACCTCAAATATGGTGCTTAGTTTCCATAGGTAAGGAGATAAAAATACCATTTACAAAGTTGGTTGTGAGGGATCTGTAACTTAGGAGAATGGCTGGCCTAGTTAGGGCCTGCCTCGCTGTAGATGTCCACTGAACGTTTGGCTCAACATATATATCAATCTTTTATTTAAAAAAAAAAAGATTTTATTTATTCATGAGAGACACACACAGAGATAGAGAGGCAGAGACACAGGCAATGGGAGAAGCAGACTCCATGCAGAGAGCCTGATGTGGGACTTGATCCTGGGACTCCAGGATCTTGCCGTGGGCTGAAGGGAGGCTTTCAACCACTGAGCCACCCAGGCATCTCTACATCAATCTTTTCTAAGACATTTGTTCAGGAAGTTTCATGAAATGCCAGTGGTCGTGACTTGTGAGCACTGGTTCAGGATATTCTTAGGCTAGGGCATGATCATCTGACCTCATCCTGGAATATTAAAGGTTTAGTGCTGATTTGTCCCTCATTTGTGAGTGACTTTTGAATAAGTCACATAACCTTTCCTGAGTATTTCATTCCCTCATTTGAGCTAGGATCGCCGCAGACCAGTGTAACTTTGGCTCTGAGTGAGACTGCTCAAGTTTCAGTCTCATCTCTGCTATTTAATAAATAGCAAATTTAGTCCAAAGCCTTGAACAGAGTGTAGAAGCTTCTCTGTGCCTCTTTCCTTATCTGTTAAATAAGCACTTCATACAATCTTCAGGAAGCTGATGTGAACCAACACATGGAAAATGTTCTAGAGAGTACCTGTCACATCATACATGCTCAATAAATGTTAATTGATTTTTTTTTCCTTCCTAGTCCTCACTTGAATGCAATAACCCATCATGGAAATCAGAATGCTGAGTATACTGCTAATGCTGTATTAATGCCACGGTAGTTTTCTGGAGAAAAAGAAAACCTGTCTAATGCTCCCAGTTTTATTTTATCTAATTTTTTTTTTCTCTCCTCCAACCCTGATTTCTCTTTGTGGCAGAGCAGCAACAAAAACAACAATGACAACAACTCTTGTCAGAGACCAAAGTGCCAGAAACTAAGGATGAAAAGATCACCCCTCCTCCCTAGTCTTCTTCTGTGTCCCTGGGGTTTCTTTGGCAGGAATGTTTTATATATTACCTCAGGAGACCTGTAGCTGTGAGTAGCAGTTTTTTCCTGGAAACAGAGGCAGAAGGTTCCTGCTTCCTTTATGGCAGGCTCATGTTCTCACTCAGGGAATCAAGCATTTCTTCATACAAGTGGAAGCACATGGTCTTTCCTTTCCTGGTTCAGCAGTTCCCACTCCCAGCATCAGGCCAAGTCAAGACAAGTAGGGCTGTGACCTGGAGGAGTCTCCGTGAGCCCCACGAGAGAGTTTGGAGTGTCTCTCAGACAACAAAACTTTGATGGATTTTGACTTCAGCCATGACTCTTTTTCCTGGCAAACTACATATTGGATGACCAAAGAAGATGCTCTCTGCAGAGTGTAATCCAGTCACCAAAGCCAGAGGTTGAGGGGAAGTTGCCATTTTCCCTTGTTGTTTACCTGTCAAGGGTCCGTTGCCTTGAATCTTTCAGTTATTGGTATCCTGGCTTAGTACCTCTGCCCTGGTATTTGAGTGTGTATATCAGCAGTGCTCATGGCACTGCTTTGAAGTTTGTGGTCCTGCCACTCTAACTGTATGACTTCGGGCCTTCAGTTAATCTAAGTTTCAAATTTCCTCTGTATGATGGGAGTAGTTATGCCTGTCCTGCTTGCTTGATCAGATACAACCCCAATTTTGTGAATCTGATAACTTAGAGTCCCAAGCTGGGTAGGAAGCTTATGTGCTAACCCACAGAGCCTTTGTCTGCTTGAAACAGCCACCCCTCACTGGCATCCTGGATAAATGATCCTCCAGCTTCAAACTGAGCTCTGGCTGGGGATCTGCCCACCCAGAAGCTCTGCTAGAAAATTCTTCCATGGGCTGAGCTGAAATTTGAACCCTCCAGTAACTTTTACCTGCTGGTTTCTATTTTCTATTTCACCTGGACTCACCGATACATTTTTATCACAAAAGTATTCTGTATATTGAAGACTACTGTAAAAAGTCCCACCATAGTTTGTGTGTGTGTGTGTGTGTTTTAATTAGTTATCAAGTCATCTCTTCAACTCCTTTGCTTTGCCTTAGGGGATTCTGATCTAGGTTGACCGCATAGAACAGGATATGGTGCAGTGTTCTGAACATTATCAGGGATCCTTGTGGCATCAGTTATAAAACTTTCCCTGGAGTTCTCTGGGGGAAGGTGTTATTAATTATTATTAATGGCAGATGCCACCACCCATAGTGAGAATGCACAAATCCTAGAGCCATAATTGGAAACACATGCTTCTTAACAGGTTTTAAATTATTCTATTTTACTTGTAAAAAAAAAAGTATTTCCTCTTATACCACCTTGCATTATTTTTCATTCTGAAGAGTAATAGAGATATATGAAATTTTGGTAAAAAAAAAAAAAGAAAGAAAGAGAGACCTAGAGAAGAATATAAGGAATAAAATTAATTTGTAATGCATCTATTTTAAAAAATAAAATTATATTTTTATACCTTATCCTTTGGTTGTGTTTCTACATATATATGTGTTTATGTGTAATTGTTGAAATTATGCAACATATGGTCCTGTGGTTCTACGTTTTGCTCTCTTACTGAATATTATGTTGTCTTTTCCGTGCCATTACCACTTATTTATAAGTGTTATCATTATAATGATTGCATCATAATTTCTTATTGAATGAATACACAATAATTTACTTAATGAATTACATCCTAATCCCTGATTTTCAGTCTCCTAGTTTTTAGGAGCTTCAGGGCTGTTACCTCTAAATTCCTGTGGAAGTATTATTCCCAGTAATACCTTCACCCCATTCTTCTTTTCCTAAATGAGAATTAAAAGACATATAGATCAGATCTTTTTAAAGCTGGAAAGCTGAACACAATGAGTTGCGGGGTGTGTGTGTGTGTGTGTGTGTGTTGTATGTGTGTCGTCAACTCACAAATTCAAAATTAAAATGCTATACTGGTGATTTATCTGAGTAACAAAGGGTTCAGGTTTGTTTTATTTGCTTATACAAATTGGACCCACCAAGAGCTTGAGTGGTCTCTTTCCCTTGATCAAGGAAATCGAGGAAATTCAAGGATCAAGAAGTTGTTGTCCTTTGATGTCATGAAGAAAACTCAATGCACTTGAACTCCCAGCTGGAAATCAAAGAAACCCAGATTTGTTTTCCATTACCATAATCTAGGGCTCCCTTGCTTCTTAGAACATAGCCCTGGCAGCACAAAGGCTCCACTCCCATATAATGAGGTCAGTCATCTTGTGTAATTGTTAAGGGGTCAATACCCCACTTCTCTACAGACATAGACCAGTCATCAAAATGGGGAACTAGAAATCTGTGTCTTTTGCAAAAATCTCCAGGTGAATTTTGTTAGGTAAATTTAAGAAATGGATCATGACCCATACAATAAAATATTTCTAGGCCATCAACAGCCTGAGAAATAATTGCCCCACACCTGTATTTCCAAGGAGTATTAATATATTAGATATGAGACTTTACCTGATGAATTGTTTCATCTTTAGTGACTATCAAAATCATATGATTGGAAAGGAGTAGCTTCATAAACCTGTAGCCAGGCTGATGAAAGGGATTTTCTCCAATATAAAAGTGATCATTTTTGTTTTTTGTTTTTGTTTTTGTTTTAATTTTTTTTATTTATTTATGATAGAGAGAGAGAGAGAGAGAGAGAGAGAGAGAGAGGCAGAGACATAGGCAGAGGGAGAAGCAGGCTCCATGCACCGGGAGCCCGAAGTGGGATTCGATCCCGGGTCTCCAGGATCGCGCCCTGGGCCAAAGGCAGGCGCTAAACCTCTGCGCCACCCAGGGATCCCAAAGTGATCATTTTTGAAAGAAGCATCTTACTTCTCCCCAAGAGCATTGCCACTAATAAAGAACCAGCTGCTCCTTCCATCATGGGCCAATGTCACCCTTGTGGAATGGATAAAAACTGTTATCACCTATGGGGACTGGCTGATTTGAGGCAGTAGCATATGGTTGACTGTTAAATCAAAATAAAACCAAACAGAAACTTGTGGTTGCTTAGCCTCAGTAGAATTCTCAAAAGCCAATACAAATGACTAAGCCCAGATACAGCCTCACTCCATCTGTGTTTTATCTCCAGCCTAGAGGAACAACCTTATTGGGTTTGGTGTGCTGGGATGCTTTCAAAGCACTGTCCAGACATTTCTGAGGGCTCAGGTTTCTGTTTCTGCAGATGAGAAACTACTGATCATGTATCTCATGTGCCTATTAGGAAGTTGAAAAATTATCTCCTGACATGACCCCGTCCAGTAGTGAGGGTGTCTATACACCGGGAACAGGTCCTCATAGTGGTAGGCAGTGGTAAAGAGGAGTCAAAGTTCTAGGTTCTTCTCTTTCCCTTGGTATAATCGCCAACAACCAGGAAACCAGATCTTTAAACCTCTAACTTTGTTCTTTGCACAGACAAAATAATTAGATAAGAATTACCTTATGAAAAAGCAAGAAAGGGAGAAAGTATGGGAAGGAAGAGTGGGAGAGAGGTATGACCAGCTTTCTTTATTCTCCACATTTAAAAACATTCAGAAGTGTGAATTGCTTGAAAATAAGAATAGCTTCTCTTTTCTTTGTTGGGCCACCTGCAAGAAGTCTGCCTGTTTTTTGTTCCCTCAGTATTGTGGAGTTGTTAAATTTTGTGGATAGGAGCTACAGGACCTTGGCTTCCACTAGAACAGGAACCACAGCAGAGTGGGGCACCCCGCCCTTGAGGTGTTGTCCTGTACAAGAAATGCAGATGAGCCTTAGGGCCATTTGTATATTTCCTGCATTTCCTGGAGCATTCAGGAAATAAGAGGCAGGTTCCATGAATATGTGCCCACTTCTTACAAGGAGGAGAGAGGCAGAGATGGCTCCAGCCATGCTGGATCTGTGAGACCCTTCACAAAAGCAACTGGTCACTCTGAGTCTGGGCATCAGTTCAGCCCAGAAGCTTTTAGGTCTTGAAACCCTTTCAGTACACGGTGTAAGTGCTGAAGAGAAAAGTTTGGTGACCAGGATCAGGGCCCGAGGGAACACATGTTTTATTAAGAGCAGAGCCATGGATCACAACCACTGCAGGTACATACAGCAGACAAAATGGGCCCAACAGGAAGATTCCAGAGGCATTCCACCTGCCCCAACTTGAGAAAATTCAGGCATCTCCTCAAACTGCCTGATTTATTTGATTTTTAAACCTTGTTTTCTTTTCCTATCATTCCGCTTTTTTTATTCTGACAAAAAAAGCAACAAACACTTGATACAAGCATCTAGTGATGTAAATGATAAAATCTAATGTGGCAATCACCCATTATTAAGTTACCACCTATAGATAACCACCATTAACTAGTATATATTCTTCCAATTTTCTTTCAATGCTTTCAGGAACATATAAAATGATTGTGTGTATATTTATAGAACAATGTTTCAATACACAGACACCCACACAGAAACATCAGTTCATATAATGCATATTATGCAATTTGCCTTTTTTTTTTCCTGAAAATAGATTTCATTTTTTCCCCTTTGGATTCATGCAAGTCCACCTCATTTTTTTTAAGTAATAGACTTTAATTTTTTAGAACAGTTGTAGAGTCAAAGAAAATTGAGCAAGGCTACCCACATACCCTCTCCTTATCACACATGCAGCCCCCTCACGTTCGACACCCCACAATATCATGGCACATTTATTACAATCCATGAATTGTAATAATTCATGTAATTATTGTAATCATTGTAATGATTATCAATCATAGTTTACATTAGGAATCACCCATAATGGTGTACACGTTAGGGAGTTGATAAATGTATAGTGATGTACTCACTATTACAGAATCAGGAGTAGTTTCTCTGTCCTAATGATCCTCTTTATTCCACCTACACATTCCTTCTTCCCATGAACTCCTGACCACCACTGATTATTTTATCATCTGCATAGTTTTGTCCTTTCTAGAATATCATAAAGTTGGAATCACAGTTTGTAACCTTCTCACGATGACCTCTTTCACTTTGCAATATGCATTTAAGGATTCTCCATGCCTTAATGTGGTTTGGTAGCTCATTTCCTTTTAGAGTTAAATAGTATTCTATTGTATGAATGTAACAGTTTTTCCACCTGTTGAAGGAAATCCAAGTTGCTTCCAAGTTTTGACAGTTATGATTAGGTGGCTATAAACATTTGTGTGCAAATTTTTCTGTGGACCTAAGTTTTCGACTCATTTGGGTTGATGCCAATGAGTGTTATTGCTGAATTGCTTGATAAGAATATGTTTATTTTTATGAAAAACAACCTGCCATACTGTCTTTCAATGTGGATTGTGCCTTTCATGAATCATGCCTTTGCTGTTGTATTTAAAAAGTCATTGGCAAACTTAGTCTTTTATATTTTCATTTATTATCTTCCAGGGATTTTGTAGTTTTGTATTTTAAATTTGGATGTATGATCTATTTTGAGTTAATGTTTGTAAAAGGTATATTTGTGTGGGTCTATTTCTAGGCTTTCTATTCTTTTCCATTGATCTCTGTTTATTCTTTTGTCAATACCACACTGCCTTGATTATAGTAGCTTTGTATTAAGTCTTAAAGTCAGGTAGTGTCAATCCTACAACTTTGTTCTTCTTCAATACTGTGTCAGCTATTCGAGGTCTCTTGCCTCTCCATGTAAGCTTTCAAATCAATTTGTTGATATCCACAAAATAACTTGCTGGGATTTTTGACTGGGATTACATTGAATCTATAGATCAACTCGAAAAGAAGCATCTTAACACTATTGACTTACTACTCATGAGTACGAAATATCTCTCAATGTATTTAGTTTTTCTTTGATTTCTATCAACAGAGTTTTGTAATTTTCTTCATGTAGCTCTTTTGAATGTTTTGTTGGATTTATACCTAAGGATTTCATTTCTGATGCTAATGTTATAACACCTTATTTAATGGCTGCAAAAGTGTCTACTAAATGAATGTATTTAAGGACACTCAGTAAGTCTTCAGTGCATATTTATTTTGGATAACTTTAAAAGTGAACGGACAAAAGCATACCTTTGGCCATCCACCAAAGCAGAGATGGTGATACATTACTTGGTCAAGCTGGAGGTCCAGAAAACAAATGACGCCAATCTCTATTTATCATCCAGAGCTACAGTTGTCAAATATACCAGCATAGGGCAGCCCCAGTGGTTTAGCGGTTTAGCGCTGCCTTCAGCCCAGGATGTGTTCTTGGAGTCCCAGGATCGAGTCCCACACTGGGCTCCCTGCATGGAGCCTACTGTCCCTCTGCCTGTGTCTCTGCTTCTCTCTCTCTCTCTCTCTATCTCTCATGAATAAATAAATAAAATATTAAAAATATATATACCAGCATAAATAGCAGCAAACTATATTATGCTAATAAGGTGAATCTACTAAAAAATAAG